CCATAAAACAGTTTGTAATTTTTTTAGGACTTTAGTTACACCACATAATTCTAGTTTCGATTGTGAATAGCTTGATTCTCGCCGTGAGAACACTACAGATTCGTAGAGAACCGGTCTATCCATGCCTTTCGAATCTTCTTGACTGAGCACAGCTCCTGCGGCAATTTTACTTGAATCGACAGATAATCTAATCTTTCCTGCATTTTCACCGTAATCCAATTTTTTTAATGTGATGTCCACGCCCACGATCTTCTTGAGTTGTTCAAAGGATTTTTGACAGTCCTCTGTCCAGTCCCATTTAGCGTCTTTCCACGTAAGTTTTCTGAGAGGAGCGGCTATATTGGAAAAGTCCTTGATGAACATTCGGACGTAAACGCAAACACCCAAGAAACCTCTGACGTCGGTTGGATTTCGTGGAGTTGGCCAAGTTTCGATTTTATTCAACTTCTTCTTCGACACTCTTCTGCCTTCTTTGCAAACAACATGACCAACCAAATCTAACGCTGGAACACAACAAGCAAATTTCTTGGCAGAAATAGTGAGTCCTGCTTCTTCAATTCTAAATAAAATTCTCTCCAGCGTGATAGCATATTCGTAGATAAATCGGCGGATTCCAGGATTCTCTTTCAGGGTCTCTCCTCCGTAATCAGATTCCGGACCTTTTATTCCTCCGTCATCGATGAATATCCCTACGTTGTTTGGTATCTCGTCTTGCAGAATCCAAGTCATTTGGGCTTTGTACACAGCTACTGAATTAGTGGCACCTTGAGGTAATCGGGTAAGTTGAAATCTACCTAGAGGAGTTTCAAAAGTAGTTAAAGGTCGGGATTCAGGGGCTAATTCTCGTTCGTCATATCCCCCCATTATATCTCCTAAACCATAACAGGCTCTACCAGTGAAAGATTGAACCAATTCTTCTGGCGAGGGTGGTAATCCGGAGTCTTTAATGGTTACACTATTTAATCTTTGTAGATCATGAACTATTCTTAATTTTCCATCTTGCTTTTTGATGCAGAAGACTGGACTCGAATAACTGGAACACGATTGCTCGTAAAGTCCCGTCCTAAGCCTTTCTCTGACTAGTTCAATAAACTGCTCTTTAATTGGCCCTGGGATTGGGATCGGTTTCTGTTGCCATGGCTCGTGTGGTATAACGGGAAGGACGTATGGTTTACCGTAAGAATGCTTCAACAGTCCGCGCTCTTCTTCTGAAAAGGCTAGTGCTCCAGCTCTAAGAGTGATGACATGACAAAATAAATTCTTTTCTTCTTCTGATAACCAAGTTGGGGAGCCAAAATTAATCATTTTTAATCTTTCCTCTGTAATTTTTGCAGTAGGCTGAAATTTCGGTGGATTTGGTACAACTGGAGTCAAATAAGGGTCACGAGATAAGGCAGGCCTTGAGAGAGGTGGATTAATAGACATTGGCATAGGTATGTTTATTGGTTTAATTTTCTTTGCAGTAGATTTATACTTTGCAGCTTGACACTCAATTCTAATCTTCCCCGGCTCTTCATCTACTTCAAGCAGTCTTTGTCCGGGGTCTAATCTAAAAAATCCCTCGTGACTAGGTGAGTTGGCAGAGTTGTCTCCCATTTCTGATGACATGGTAGCAAAATTGGAATTAAATAAGTCTTTCCCTTTTTATCCATAATAGCCAAAGATTCTCCGCCGTTATCCATGTATTTGATCGTGGCTGCAGCGTCAATCAAGAAAGGTTTCCCTAAGATGAACTGTACCGCTCCTCTTGCTATCCAAAAGTCAACGGGTCTCGTTATTTTTCCAATCACCACTTCGACTCCCTCAGCGATTCCAATGATTCCTGTCTGGTGTCCGCCTATTCCTTTCAAGTTCATCGGTTTCTCGGTTACGACCAATCCTAAATTCTGCGCCATATGCTCCGGCATCAAATTCACCATCGATCCAGTATCCAATAAAGCCTCGCTGTTGGTACCGTTGATACTGAGTTTAATATAACCTAGGGGGCAAGAATAGTGGGTTACTGAGAGTTCGTCTTCTTCATTATTTTCCAGAGACGCGTGATTGGAACTTTCGCTTTCTTCCACGGGTACTCGTCTGTTCGAAATCTTTTTCTTGAAGACATCCACAACTCCATTCGAGATAGCAAAAATTTCACCATAGCTTAGAGTCATTTTTCCCTCTGTCAACATGCGCTTCGCCGTTTCTTCTTCAACTCCTGGATATTCTTTCGCCAAAGTTTTCTCCAGGTGAGTTTTCTTCGCCGGTTTTTCTCTTTCTTCTTTCTCGGATCTTTGTTCCTCAAATCTAACCTTAGCGGGTACGGTAGTAGTTTTTGAAGGTCCTTGAGCCGGTTTTTGAGCTGTTGCCTTCTTGATCAAGTCCTCAGCGTCAATGTCCATTACAGCATCCTTCTTGATTCTTCCCTTCTTCCCGCTACCAGATTTTTCCGGTTCTTTTTCCAATCGTGTTTGTTTCCCCAAGTCCACGTCATACGCCGCGTGTTCTTCAACTTCACATTCCTCCAGTTCTCCAAACGAGGAAGTGACCACAGCCGCAGTAGTTTTCTTAGAATTACGATCGAATTTATCCACTTCATCCTTAATAGCTCAACGAGTATCCCATGCAATCTTGGTGTTGTCTGGCAGAAGATAGTCTCGTCCTTCACGCTTTACTAGTCCTCGAGATTCATCAAAGGCAAATAGACTACATCTATTGCTACTGTGAGTATCCTGGAAGCAGTAGTAACACTTGAAATCTGGTTTCTTGAAGGGTACGTTAGTGGGAGCAGCTGAGGGTGGAAGATTAGCGTCCAATGGCTGATGTGGAGGAGCCATCTTTCCTGCTGTCAAAGAGGCTAATTGTCTTGTGAGGTCTTGAATCTTTTTCTCATAGGATTCTGGCTGTGGTGCTGGTGCTGGGGGTCTGGGAATAGGGTTTCTAATGGGCTTAGCTGGCTCTACGTTGGTTTGTTCAAGCCTTCCCAAATATCTACGTTCCATTACCGAGGTTGACTGAACTTCTCTCTGAATATATTGAACGATGATCTTGGTGACCGGTAGAATATCGCCTCCATCTTTAGAAACGCGCATCTTGTTGTCGCGGATAAGTTCCCGAGTGACAGCAGTTTCTAACGGTAGACTAAGAGCCTCCAACAACAATTCTCAAAAATCTTCCAAGTCAGAGTTGTATCCCATCCGAACCAAGTAGTGAGTGATCATTTCAAATTTCGACCGAAATATCTTAAACTCCTCCAAGGTTTGAATGCCTCCTTTCTTGGCAGCGGTGTTGACTAAATCCTTCAAGTCTTGCTTTGTATATTTCACCAGGGGCAGAGATTTTCCAAACCGATCCAACAATTGTTTCTTCAACTCCTCCCACTCGACCGTCTCATATCCTTCCATCTCCTCAACCTCATCCTTCAAATCGCCCCCTCTTACGAACGAAATAATCTGTTTTGCCAAATCCGTAGCGCTAGCTCCAACCGCTTCTCCCGCACGCTCATACCGCTTAATAAACTTCTCTATCGGCATGTTCGTTCCATCGAAAAATAATTCCTTGTCTAGAGGCTTAATCTTGACCACCCTCCGACTATCAGTTGGTCCTGCGTATTTAGGAATTTCGGGTTCTTTTTCGAGGAAATGAGTGTTGGATTCTGCTACTGAATGATGAGACCGAAGATGGTTATCTGGAGTAATAGGACTGGGTCGTGGCATGTCTAATCTGGTGTCCAAAGGATGCATAAGGGAGCTTCCAGAAGAGGCTACGGATGGTTCTCGATGCTGGGTAAAGGCAGTGTTGCCGACATTGATGAGAGGAGTGTATTCAGACATGTTCTTCTAATCTGTTGTAAGGGTTCTTAATATTTTAAGGTGAGATTTGAGAAAGGTTCAGGTATTGAGTAAGTCTAGCAAGGTAGTAGTATCTTTTAAAGACTAAATTTATCTGAGGAAATCTGCCACTGTTGGGACACCACTTGTGGAACTGCTCAGCAAGTGAGTAAAGAGCTTGGAGGGGATAAAATAGCTAATAAGACTATGAAATAGTAGAGTTAGTATCTGTGTGTGGGTGAGACTGCCCTCCTGTCTAGCTTGCGGGAAAGTTACACTAAGAAAAATAAGAGTGTGGCTTATTTCTAAATTTATCTTAGTGTTGATTCTACTGTTATTGTTGCTTAAGAATACCTGTTGGAGAGGTAAGGAGTTTTGTGGGGTTTTCTGAGTAATAAGGGTTTCTGAAGGGTTTCACTGTTATAAATTCTCTCTGGTCTCTGGTCTCTCTGGGCTCTGATAAAGGGTATGCTTATTTCTCTGATATCTGTTGCCAAAGAGTTGAGGATGGCTAAGCAATATCTCTGAATTACTTGTCTAGGGCCAAAATTGAGGTAAGGGAAGTTCAAGGGCTCTAATATTCTCTGGATCTCTTAATCAAGGGGTGATGAAAGCTGAGTAATATCTCTGATTACTATTCTGTAGCTAGCATAAGGAGGGAGGCAGGAAAACATGAGCCAAAGGAGCCTCTATTTATAGACAAATGGTTCTGCAGTACATGGATTTTTGGCCTGAACACAAGTTCGTCTGAGAAGGGTACTTCTAGATTGGTTTTTACTACTCTGAGATGGCCTAATCTGATATGAATTAATCTCTAAGTGCCTTTCTAATACCAGAGGTTGTAAATCTACTATATGAGGCCTATTCTTAGATTAATTAATATGAGAATGGTATTCTTAAACTAGCTAATATAAGAGTTATTTTCTGGAACTAGTCTGTGAAGCACTTTCTATTCAGTAGCTTGTTTTACTAGTCTAAGATGAATGTATTATAGTTCTACAGGTTATTTATATATTTTTTATTCATGGGAAATTGAATATCTTAAGCCCATTTTGTGAATTATTTAACTACAATTTAGCCCTGTACTATTTATGTGGTTTGTTTCCTAACCTATTCCCTTCCCTCTAGTATTCTAACTACTATGTATATGTAATAAGGTGTTTTAATTATGGGCTATGGGTTTGATCACTCTCACCACATCGGTCTGCTATAGCGTGCCGCCTTTTCCTCGGTAGTCGGCCACAAGAAGCGAGCTTGAGGGTGCTGTTTCAGGACCTCCAAGAGGTGATGCATCCCAGAAGAAAGATAGCAAGAACATACAGCCGGAGTAATTCCAAATAGCTGTTGCAAAGAGTATGATGACATGGTCGAGCATAGCCAATGCAAGACCAAACCCAGCGCACCGGCGGCATCCAGAGATAGACAACCGGGTTGGGGTTCTCCATTCGGGTTCACATCACCACGCTCGATTGTTGAGTAGTTCCATCGATCCGCAAACCGATCCAGTAGGTCGTCAAAGGTGCGCACATCGATCCCCATGGTAGTAATGAAAGCCCAATCGCTTCGGGACTGCCACAAGTAGGCCCAGGGGCTGTGAGCCATGGGATTCAATGGGAGATCGGCCCGGGTCAAGTACGTCTGGAATTGACGGAATTGGCCGGGAGTTCCAAGGTAATCCATGGCCATGAACAAGACGATTGCGTCTTCATCGGCCTGGATTTTGCTGGCGGTTTGTTGAGAAAAACGGTCGCCAATGGTGCGCTGCAAGGCATCTTGATTGAAATGGCGTTGTTGCTGCCTGATCTGAAGTTGCCCCTCCTGATCCAATAACACTATGTGTTGGGGACACATTCCGTCGTAGCTTCTAGAAGAACAAATCAGCTGTTGAAATGCCATGGTCAGACAGAAGATACCCCACTTACTATTTGGTCCAGCGCGGTGATTATATTGACTTTGGTGGAAAGGTGAGTTAGGCAAGATTCAGAATGAATGAGGGGAGGGGTGGAGTGAGGGATAGGGGGCTGAGGTGGGAGGGATGGATGGGCCCGAGTGGAAGTGGATGATGGGAGGAGAACGTCAGGGTTGAGGAATTCGATTGTGAGGTGTAAAAACAAGGTGTAAATTTACACAGTGAGGATGACGGAAGCATGAATTTAGCTTTTTACACTTTGGCATTGTAAATTACTTTCTGCGAGGCCCGCAGATCGAACGGGAAGTCATCCAATTATAAACAACTTTTTGGATTATATTTGAAATAATTTAAAAACTGTTGCAACTTTGTTTGGCTTTTTTTATTATTTCTTTTGGGGCTTGGAAAAACGACTCCTAAAAATTAGTCAACGACTCCCGTTTTGGTCGGGAGGTCGTCGAACGGGAGTCGTTCTTCCAATTCCCCCCAAAAAAAGGGGAGTCGTCGTCCTAATTTCAAAGGTGATTTTTTAATTTTTTTTATTAAAAAAATGGGAGTCGCCCGCCTAAAGGGCGGGAGTCGTCGTACCAATTTAGCCAAATATTTTTTATTTTTTTTCATTAAAAAAATTGGGAGTCGTCCGCCTAAAGGGCGGGAGTCGGCGCCCCAATTTATCCAACTAATCTAATTTTTTTTATTAAAAAAAAAGGGAGTCGTCCGCCTAAAGGGCGGGAGTCAGCGCACCAATTATAACCAATATTTTAACCTTTTTTCTGCATTAAAAAAAACGGGAGTCTTCCAACTCAAAACAGGAGTTGTCGACCTCTAGTGACCCTAAAAACTCAAAAAAAAAGTTCAGCCACTGGGGCCCCGCCCCAAAGGCACTCTATCAATGATTAAAAATTAGATTCATTGAGAAAAACAAATTCAAGAAATAATTGAAATAAATTGATGAGATGTTGAGAAATGTAAACAAAAAAACAATGAGAAATGTAAGAAAAAAACAGGGATAAAAGAATTCAATTGATGAGAAATATAAGAAAAAAACACAGGGCAAAAAAGGACAGAGAGATGTATAACAAAATTTTCCGTCGGCCTGATTGGTATTGGAAAGTGTTCCACAAAGTTGAGGGGGCTTTGGCTTGTATCATGGTTGATTCACCAGAACCTTGTCCAAAGGCTCATTGGATGTCCATGCCTTCAATGGGTGAGGTAATGGCAAATGCCTTTGAGAGGCCTGTTTTCTTTTTTTCTAGGGGAGTGATAATCACACTCCACCCCCCTTCGCACACACACTCCAACACTCCCTTCTCTGAAGGGAGTGTGGGACCACACTCCAATTGAAATTGGAGTGCGGGTCCGCACTCCAACCCTCTGCGCGGGCATTCCCCCAGCAGGTTGGCGTGCGGACCTGCACGCCAATTGTGATTGGAGTGCGGTCCCACACTCCCCTTCTGAGGGGAGTATGGGAGTGTGCATGTGTATACTTTATACATATGTACATATTCCCTGGGCTATCCCATAGGACCCAGGCCTGGGTCTTATGGGATAGCCCAGGGCTTGAGCCGTTGAGGCCGTTGAAAAAAGAAAATAAAAAGACCTGGGGCTCCCAGCCCCAAAAGATTGTACAGTCTTGGGGCCGGGAGGGGTTCCTCCCGGCCTTGAGATTGTACATGGCTCAAGGCCGAGAGGAATCCCTCTCGGCCTTGGAAATTTGTACTGACGAGAGGGTTTACAACCCATCTCGTTGGGAGGAATCCCTCCCGACGAGATGGGCTTAAGACCAGCTCATCGGGAGGGATTCCTCCCAACGAGATGGGTTGTAAACCCTCTCGTCAGTACAAATTTCCAAGGGCGAGAGGGGTTCCTCTCGGTCTTGAG